ATATATATATATATATATATATATATATATATATATAATATTATACATATAAATTATAAATTTTCGAAAACCTCGAGATAATGGCTGGCAGAAAAATGATCAAATGATAATAATTAAGTTCAAAATAGATGCGACTAGATTTTGCAAATATTTCGGGCAATTTAAAGGTACACACTGATCTCCAAATTTTAAATCGTGAATAGAATTTGAAGCAGAATAAAACAAAGTATTATAGGTTGAGGTCTACGTAGTCTGCAATGATGCATGCAGCAGTAAAAGAGCGCGACCTCAAAGGCCAGGGGAATTCGAAATAAATAGAAGACTCTCATTGTTTTGTCGCAGACCGTGCCATGAAAGCAGGAATCGAGCAATCCTCGGCCATGTTCCTCGTCTCTGTGATCGGTATTGGCAACACGGTCGGTCGTATCGTCTGTGGCCTGGCAAGCAGTTTTCCAGGCGTCGATGCCCTGGTCGTTAACAACATATTCATCAGCGCTGGCGGACTATTAACGTTCTTCTCTGGTTTATCTCTCTCCGAGGGCTACCAATTTTTCTACGCAGCCACGTTTGGCATCAGTATATGTGAGTATTCGACACGAAGACGTGCATCAACTGTCCAAAAATATAGGTCATCGATTCTCAGAACATTGCTTTTGGAAAAGTGTGTTTTCAAAATGTCCAAATCAAATGTTTCTGAAACATAGATTTAAATATAGCGCTATCGAATTAGAATATTTTCTAAAAATTAATCTTTATCATATATTTATACGCGCGAGACTTTTTAAATATTATACTTCCATTTTGTGATTAAAAATATATAAATATATAAATATTATAATATAATAATAATATACATAATATTTATTTATATAATATTTATATAATATATATTATTTATTTATTATATATAATATATATAATATTATAATATATAAATATATAAATATTCTTGTCGATAAATGGCAGTACTGATTTCAATCCCCAGTTTTTGAATATAACTTTAAATCATTTCACAGCTTTGGTATTTAAGATTTTATGCAGAGATTTTTACTTTGAAACCATAAATTAATGTAATGCTATTCAAGAAACATTACGAATGGATGTTTTATATATATAGGTGTAAAATCTTAAAGCTTGACATACAAGATTTTGTGCACAGATTTTCTTTAGAAACCACAAATCAATATGATGGACAAATTTTCCTGAATTCCTGCTTCTTGAATAATCGCAAATCATTTCACAGTTTTGGTATTCAAGATTTTATGTACAGATCTTCAATTTGAAACTGTGAATGAGTTTGAAACAAAAGAAATTGTTAAGGGAACTGTACTAAATAGATTTCGCGTTGCGCACGCAAAAATTAGTGTGTCGAAAAAACGTATCGGTGCAAGATTAAATATAGATCTGATTTAAAATTCAGTTTGACTTAAAATTCAATATACTTGTGTAGCTTAAATTTAACATAAATTTCGCCGGGTAATGAGTTTAACGTTATGGTGTTCCAGCCGTGTTCGCGTCCCTGAGATCGATCCTGGTGGTGGATCTGCTGGGGCTGGAGAAGCTGACGAACGCTTTCGGACTTCTTCTTCTGTTCCAAGGAGTGGCGGCAACAGTGGGCGCGCCTCTCGCAGGTGATTAAAGCATTGACAATTATTTTATAATCCTGCTCATATCGTCGCTTGTCACCGATACCGATAACGCGCTACTGTCCCACATTAATTCATATTTGCCGAGCGTATAATCTGGCTGATTACAATCTACGAGTCGCGGATATCGATTGTAGATTCGCCTGTGTAACAGGCTCGATCGATCCTCCTCGATCCCGCCGTACAATTCGATCGTGAACTGATCTGCGATTTCGCGCGATACTCGCCGAAAGCTGTTGCGCAATCGGAGCATCGTGCTACTGACACGCGGAAACGGAGAACCTTGAGATAACAGTCGAGTACTTTAATTATTCCGTTCTCCCTATCTGACGTCGAGTGATTCCAAATCAATCACTCGCCTGTGGATCCTAATTGGTGGCACTTTTTATTCCATTTAGCTGTGAATTCGTTACATCGAAATTGACAGGAATTAATGTCGGTTTTCCTATATTTTTTTTTCACGAAGAACCAATTCTAATGATTATGATTTTTTATTTTTACAAAGTGATTTATCGTAATAATAATTTGTACAGAAATTCGCTGTTTGTTAGCGGATCTATAGAAGCACCTGAAAGGACACATCTTAAAAATATTACCAAAGCATTATCAATCCTATGATTGCAAAAGAGATGCACCGTTTGGCGGTTAATAGTAAAATTATACATTAGTATCACTTCCTTTTATTTGTTGGGCTTCGATTGAGGACACCGAAGAGACGTGAGAGATGTTAAAATCTTAGTTTCTAGTTATTTTATTCCCTCTACTCTTTCAGTCTATCTTTTCAAGATCCAAATATTACACAATAAATATCGTCCAACTGTAAATTACGGCGGCAGAGATAATTTACCCGAAATGGTAAACAAAAAGCAACTTTATCAAGGCGGCTGTAAAGCAGAAAAGATTGAGCAACCATAGTTCAGATGCTGTTTTCGAAGATTCTATTCTTGAATGCAAATGGCTAAGAGATAACAATGCGACGATACAGGAGAAAACTGTGAGGTACAAAGCAAACTACACGCCGTTAAATACCTCGCAAAAACGCAACTATACGGTACAACACCCTGTGTCCACGAAACATCGCGGATCTTGTAGTACAAATCGCCCAGCAATCACCGTCCAAGTGTCTGACTGAAGCGATAGTATCGCTCAGTTGTAGAAACGGTTCGCGGTTTATCTAATCGTTCGAGGGTTTGCAAATTTCGCTTTTCGAAATCCGGAGTGGAAAATAATCGGCTCGGTAAGAGCGCATCATAAATCATTCCGTAATCGCTCAGCAATCCAACTGTTGATCACCGTGGATCCTCTTTCACGATCGTTTGATCTGTCCCGCAGGCGTCTTCATGGATGCCACGAAGAGCTACGACACGGCGTTCTATCTGTCCGGGACCCTGATCTTAGTGTCGGCGATAATCTGCTATCCCTTGAAGTGGATCAACAGGCGGGAGCTGAAGAAGAACGGACAGAAGAGCAACGAGGACCCGTCGAAATCTTGATCGAAGCTGCCGAACACCTCGCCGCCGCAGATCGAACCGTTTCCCGTTCGCTGTCGGCCGATGTATTTGTACATACTAACGCGTAATAATTTATAGCGAGCGTTCGAGTCGATCCATCGATCGGCGCCCCGTTCCGGAAACGATCTACGGTTCCACATCGAAGATGTTAACATCGTCTGCGAAGTCGAAGACGTTCAAATCGTTGACGAAGTCGAGGACGTTCGTCGTTGTTCGAAGGATGGGCGGCCGGCTTTGGTGCTCGAGGACGCTGAAGAAGGTGAATACCGTCCACAGCGAAGAGGGGCCCCAGCGTTTCCGTCGAAAGTGGGGGAACGGTGGAACCCGAAGACGCGTATCCGCTCGAGAATCGTCCTGGATCGGTGCACCGTCGCTTCGGGTCGGTGGGCGTCGGTATAGACCGCGGATCTCCATGCAGAATTATGTTCTCTAGGTGCCCGTGACGATTGAAGTTGACCTCTTGTCCCAGGATAATTACAACTTCTACGCTGTCGCTAATTTCTCGGAGAAGCGAGAGCATTCTTTCTAACTTATGGTCTATAGAGCTATGTATATATTTTGTGTAAATACGATTCTAGAGATATTTTTATAGTCGTTACAATTAAACATCGCAGAATTGTATTTTTTAGAATCAATTTTAATGTGAAATTCTTAGAGACACAAATTCGTAGACCATGTTTCAAAGAGTTGCGCAGATGACAATTACTTGGGCACGTGTAGACAGTTGCGTATCGTTATTTAAATCGTACTTTTGAAGGTGCAACTCAACGGTCTACAGTGTAGTTTTATCGAATGTTTAACTATGATGTAAGCACTGGACTGTGGTCTTTCGCACGTTTATAAAATGAAAGTAACAATTAACAACTTCGACGCAAGTGCATAAAGTTCCGCGGTCCGCTAATTGCAACGAGAAATTGCATGTCCAGCCAGAACGAATATTTATCTCCCACCAGCCCAATTTCGTCTGCGCGGTATTAGCTATGTAGAATACATACATACAAGCTTGGTGTGTCGGACAAGTGGGTACGCGGCTTAACGTGAACGCAGAACTGCGGGCAACGATGAAGTATCATAGTGCTCCCGCGAAATGTTAATCGCCACGAAACCAGTTCGGAAACGCGAGACTTTTTCCCTGTCCCGTAGCGGCGCGTTATGCGCCGTGACACGCATTTTTTGTAGTCTATCAACAGGAGACTTTTGCGCGACCACCGCTGCCTTAATGTGAACGTGACGAGTAAGTGCCTTCTGTCGTACAGTGATTTGTTTCGCCGAGAGGCGAGAGTCCTGCGACAGTTCGTCCACGGACCGGATCGGAGGGCGTTCCGTAATTTTAATGCCGAGAGATTTTGTTGTTTGGTTCTGCTCGTTGTTCGGACCGACAGCCATTTTGGATCCGAACGGCACAGAGAGTGGACTGAGAGACAGACGGTTGTATGTATTCGAAATGATCCCACGCTCTTGACCTTTCGCCGATCTATTTCTTGCTATAGTTCTTAGACAGCCGAAAGTGAACTGCCATACCTGCGATCGCATACTCTTGCTACATTTTATACAGGCTGGGTCGAACGCGCGATCGTGTACGAAAGAATTGTTATTCGTTTCCCGTTTCTAGCTGTTGATTATGCAACCCGATCAAACAGAACAATATGTCAACCGAACCTCCATCCCGTCGAACATGTTTTTAATGTGACGTTGAATGCTCCGCAACTAGTTGACTTTTCAATATTACCAACGGTGCAAGAAAAACTCATCCCAAGAATTCCAGGTATAATACTTTAACCGTCATCTATTGTGACTTGCTGAACTTTCCAATCAGATCTCCTATTTTGTACGATATTTTTTATTTCATCTGCAACACTTTTATATTCGACGCCGGTTAACTTACTCTTGCACTGTACACACATTCTAGATAAATAAACAGCCAAGTACTCAATATCATAATCAAAAATAACGCGTCGATCTTTACGCAGATTCCTTCGCAGAATTTTAAGCCTTAATTGGTATGCTGTAAACATTGTATTCCTATTTGATTTTGCAGTAGAAGTTTTTATTATTTTATTACACTAACTAAGAATAAAAATCCATAGGTCATTTAATCTAGAATTTTAGATTAACACATCTATCTGTCTTTTTTATTTGGAGTGTGCCACGACTCCAACGCTACAGTTGTTTTTATGAAAGATATTGTACCAATTAAGGGTTAAATGTGACTTCAAGGAGCGCTGGACTTCGAACAATTTCCGGCAAGTGATTTTAGAAAGCGAGAATCCAGCGCTGCAAAAAGATAAATGGTTGTCCGGTTTGGATTTCTCGCGAAAGAACTTTTGTACATTCTTTCGTGCAGACCGCCAGGGAACACTTCCTCCGTAACAATCTGTACATTTGTAACGCTTTAGTGTTAGTCTCGACAGGACAGCGGCGAGATATCCCCGAGGCGAGTTGATCGTTGGATCGATCAGGGATCTCGCTTCCGACATATCGCGCCGAGAGTAGATTTCTATTATAAATCAGTCCACGACCAGCGCGACCGTACGTTAAAGGCGTATGTACTTGCATAAACGAGTACATGTAATCTCAATAGACCGTGCGCGTCCGTTCCGTCGCGGCGCTGTTTATAGCGTTAATTAACCACGAGGCCGATATCCGGAACCGTGATCCGGACGTCGGCTCCTTCCCGTCGACGTAGACGTGTGTAGGACTTGCTCAAAAGTGAAATCCGTTCCTACTGTTCCTAATTAATTAATCTACCCTAGGATTTTCGAGCTGAGCCGTCACCCTCGTACGCCATTTTGGCTATTTGTAACGTCCCGAATGCATCCACTCTGCGACCTTTCGCGTGCATTTCATTTGTCAAATAAATCAACAATGTAGAATTAGTCATTTCGATTTAAGATCATTGTCTTCCTCGGATAGAGAAGCGCGAAAGTCGTGGAGCAGAGCCGTTCGACGCGCGCCATTTTGGTTCCTTTCAATCCTCTATCTCAGCGAGCTTTTACCTGCGTCTTCTCAAATATCATGTTAAAATAAAGCGTGAACTTGTAATTATTAAATCACTGTGTTCCAACGATTGAAGTTCAGAAGTTGAGGAGCGTCGTTCCTGTACCACCCCAACACCGTTATGGTTCCTTGTAAATGTTCGTACACTTTGATTCTTCCACTTTATATTATAAATAGAAATTTAATGATATTGAAGGATCATCCTTGCACCACGTACGCCATATTGATTCCTTCTAACCATTCACGTACGGTTAGTGAATAATAAATAGCGAATAATAAAATGGTAACTCTAAAATCGTTGTCTTTTATTGATAGACGTCTAGAAGCATCAGTGGAGGCATCGTCCTTATGGCATATTGGAAAATCCAGATGACCGACGACTTTCTATTTTAAAGTTACGTTTACCATTGAGAAACATTCACAGATATTTCAAGGACTTGAATTTCTTCCGGACGCTATGATGCTTCCCCATAAGTCCTTGCACTGTCCGCCTTTCATTTCCGTACCTCGAGGACAATTCTTCATTTAAATCATTTTACCCGAAAATTCTGTATCAAATCGTAAACAAAAATTTGGAGTTCGTAAATCTCGTGAACGCCTAAAGACCGATTTATATCGTCCGTTCAGGCACGCAACGTTCGGCACGAACAAATGTATCTAGAATTTACATCTTCAGCCATGAGAGAAGTCTTTAGTTCAACGTAAAAATGTCGAATATGCCTAAAAACAATTCAGTTATATCCAGAACATGCAGACAAAATTATTTTAACGACATGCATTTTGCGTAACTATATTATATCTTCTCGCGATTTTCGATCATCTCTCATTACAAGATGCTGGTAGTAATACTCTCTTAAACTGATTTCTTTAATAGTGAATTTTGAAATATTAATATGGTTGCGTACACAAAATGAACTGCAAGCAAACGTGTTTAATATAATCCCATAAAGACAAATAAAACACAGTTATGCATTATAAATATATAACATATAAAACGTTCTTACCGAGAATGACGGACGGCGAATGTCTGAAACGTTACTTGCCGAATCGATTCGCGACGCTACATAGCGACAGCCGAATCTTTTTACCCGCGATAATGTTCGCCCGAACCAAACCGTTTCGCGAACGTGCCGTGCCGGAACATACGATACAAATCGGCCTTAATCCGAACCTTAAAAGAGGGCCTGAATTCGCGGAGCAATGACGGCCTTCGTAATATATCGCGCATCCAATAGAAGCTCGCAGCCTCCGCGGAATAAAGTCGCAAAATCCTGTTGACAATAACGCACACGTTATTGCGCTGCAGAACGAAACGTCGATAGCATCGCGTAGTATGCGACACGCAAGCTGCATAACAGCGCGAACCGCGTCGGGAAAAACGTTACTATCGCGAAAAATATCCGCCCGTGTCCCGTAAACGAGGGGAACGCGTGTTCCCGCGGAGCGGAGTTTTAATTAAATCGCGATCCACGTGCGCCAGAATCACAGGATAATAGTTCCATCGTTAGCTGCCGCGTCGTTCCAGCTGGATATCCCTGATCGCCAGGATTGTCAGCGCAAGTACACCCGTGAATCAGCTGCGAAACGACAAATCCGCCGATGGAGAGGGAAATAGAGAGGGAGAGAGAGGGTGGGAGACATGTAAATGAAAGCTAATATTAAAGACTACAAAAAGGAATGCCGAGAGAAACGGATTTTCCTAATGGCGATCGTAGCCTGTCGCCTTCTGCGTCTCTTTTATCCTGCCACTCCTTCAATAACCCGCCCTTCTCTCTCCGTTCCCTCCGTAGCGGCGCGCAGCAGCTGCACGACTCGCTGGCTTATAAATTATTTATCCGCTAGGCGTAGACCCGATCATTGAAACGTTCGATCGACTTCTAATTGGCTGCGCTTTCTTATCTTTCATTGCCAATAACAACGGGCTGGCTGTTCTACAATTTATTAGGCACCGCGGCGCGGCGGCTTCATTACCGTGAGCGTTCTGCATTTCGTTAGACTGCACCGTGCAGCCCAGCTGCCGCGTTTGCAACGGAACGGAGTTTCGTTTTATAAGCGCCGCTTTTTCATCGCTGATCAGCAAGCAAAGCGTTAACTTTATTAAAATGTTTTTCTCGGGTACAGCTACAGTGGATTTCAAAATGCTCGGCGCGGAAATAACCTTCACGCTGAACCTACCGCGTGCCGATCAAAGAGATCGGGTTTACAGTTTTCGTTTCAATGTTGTTGAAATTAGGAATATTCTTTCGCAGAAAATAAGCGACGTTCTGATAAATATGGCGGAAGATCTACGGTTTCGTCGCCGTCATAAAGTAGCTCACGTTTTATTATAAAAACAGAGTAATTCAATTTTAGTCTAATTCGATCGCATTGTAATTTGTAATTCAGATCTTCGTTCAATTAAATTACAATATGATTTGTAATTTGCAATTGGAGTACAATGACTGTGTAATTAAATTCCATTAATTGTGAATTACGATGTATTTGAATTAAAATTACCAGTTAAAAAATAATAAATTAATAGATAAGAAGAGAAGAAAATTGCGGAGAAGAGACAAAAAATGTGCGTACAAAAGTAAAACATAAAAACGTATCTCACTTCTTCACAGTTCTAGAAATGTATTTCATTTACATTGTATTTGAATTCCACTCGTGATTATATCGTTATGTAATTGCATTACAACGTAGTTGAATTACCATGTAACCGAGTGTTAACCTTCTACCTGCGAACGTCGAGTATACTCGTCATCTGGAGAAATCACGATTTCACGTGTTACGACAAACATACTCGTCCTACGATTTTAATAAAAATCTCTGTGAAACGTGTTCGCAGATTTCATACATTTTTAAGTTATTATGAAAGAGCTTGCTGAGATGAACTGCAGATACAGTGAAGACAATAATGAAACAGTGACAAACGCGCTTCGTGTTCGTAGAATGCTCGCGCCATTTCTCCTCGGGTGTCTGTCTCAACGTTAAATTTCTGAGATCTGGAACATTCTCGTTATCAGTTTATTCGTTAACAATGTATACGTTCTTTTCTTCGGATAAGCTGTTTCACGACGCAATACATGACAACGAAATAGTTTCAAACAGCACTTTCGAGATCGTCACCGGCTAATTAATAGTAACGAGGAACGTCTAGATGTACAGGTTAGTCACAGAATTCAGTCACATTTGTCTTAAGTAGAATATAATAATGTTATATAATACATTATATAATAATATTATAAATTATTTAATTTGAAGAAAAAAGACAAAAGTATGTCATACTTTATTTGACAAAAAAAGAGAATAAATATTAACATTTACTTCAGCAACAAGAAGATGCTTAATCACAAGGTAGTGCCATTAGCACATCAACAATCACAGTCGTCATTAACATTTGACATCGTAATGACGTTAGCATAAACGCACAAAAGTCCGCGATTCACTCGTTCGAAAAAATTAACTTCGCTCAGACGTTTAGTTGGCCGTGTCCGCCCCAAATTCTATGCATGACTTTCGACCGTCATAAATTCATCTGTCGTAAAATCGACGTGAAACGTTTTTATTCGAAACGAGACGTTCGAACAGTTGGAACTACGGCTACAGGACGATCCATTGCACAGGCCGTCGTTTCTCCGAGATAAAAGAACAAGCTTCCCTGCGACATGGTGGCGTTCGTTAAAAACTCGGTCTCGAGGAAGTTCAAAGAAGAAGGTCAGCACCGAAAAGGAGGGTGTTTAACGAACGGCAATAATTTATGCCCGGGCATAGTCGCGCGAGAGAAAAAGAGCTGCGCGGCAAGATGGCGGGTCGGAGCGTCGCTCGACGATGTCGTAAATACTATAAGGCGGCAATTCGTTTTTACGACTCTGGTTGGGTCTGAACCGCCGTTTCTATCGACCTAATTGAAAAAAATCATCGTCTCCGCGAAACTCGCCGGAATTTTCTGTAGATAGCCTCTGTTTCTTATATTTCCGCCGCGGTAATTCCGGAAAGATGTTCGTTGATAACAGCTGTTACCGCAAAAATTTAAAAGGTGTCTGACATTTTTCCGTCCGCGTGCGATTGCTGAAGCATCATTATTTTTATGGTCTGTGTTGAGCAACATTTTAATTGCGTTTTCATATATTTTTCATTGCTTCAAGTTAGAAAATAGTGGAGTTGCACATCATTGTTTATCTCAATGTCCAGCGAAACCTTGTTAATTTGTAACCGTAAATGAAACATAAATAATTTCTGTGTCAATTTGGCATGCCATGCCTCATACGGTTTTTTAATGACTTTGAAATGTGAGAAAATGGCAGAGACTATTGAAGACGAAATATTCTCTATGGCTGATAAAATCAACTGCATTGTTTCCCTTTCGTTTTCATAGTGAATGTAGTTTCTTCGAGCAAGTTCTTCAATTATTATTTTAAAATGTGCGAAATAAACCAACAAGTTTCACAAAGATTTCAATTGAAATCGTACGACGAGTATGTTTGTCGTAATACCTGAAATTGCCATTTCTCCATCACGAGCATACTCGACGTTTACAGCAAGGACAGCAATTACGGGCCATAACTTTGACCAAGTGAGATACATTTTTATGTTTTTCTTTCGTATACGCATTGTTCGTCTCTCTTCTGTGTATCTCCTTCTCTCATTACTCTCTCATTAATTTATTGCTTTCTAACTCGTCATTAGAATTCAATTACATTGTAATTTGTAATCGATGTAATTACTATATATTACTATAAGTAATTATAATATACTATAATATACTATAATTAATTAATAATGATGTAATTACTAATATACTATAAGTAATTATATATTATAAGTAATTACTATGTATTACTATAAGTTTCAAGTTACACTAATGAATTGTCCGAAAAATATGCTGGATGAGAGATCGGAAGCCCCAGTTTCGAGAAAACCGAGCTCATGCGACGATTCCACGTCGTCGTTTAATTTCGCCGTTTCATTGGATTCCAAAAAATCCTTCTGCCACAGTGTTCTACACAAGCGCGACTTCGAGCGGAAACAAGAATTGAAATTTTCTGGTTGGTTCTTTTTGGAGTGGACGGGGTTGGTTGCTCGGCCCCTTAATTGTCCTCTATAAACATGCGCTCTCCGCGTGCTCTCGGTGTCTACGCTGATAAAATTGATCGCGGCGTCCTCCTTGCTCGCGGCAAAAAGCTGCGAGAGAGGCACGAGAGATTTTTTTCCCGCGGATACTCCCAATTCGTTCGTCAAGGCTCGCCCCATAGCATCGTCTGGCTGACCCTCTTCCCCGAGTACTACTTCCACGGCCGAGAATCAGTTTTT